ACAAATAAAAATTGAAATAATTCCATGTATCCTATCTGACTGCAATTGAATAAAGCTTAAAATCAATAGCAAAAGAAGCTCTAGTAACTACATGAATGCATGGAGATAAAATAACACATCAATTATCAGGGTCCTGCCCCAACACAGGAGCTGGGGAAAGGGAGGTGAGCTATCTGCCCATTACCTGCAGCCTCCCCAGGAGACAATCAGATGTGACAGGGAGCCAGGCAAGCAGGAACTCGTTTATTGCAGGCGTTACAGGGCTTATGAAGGCAAAAACCACAAAGGAAAATCCTGTCCCCAACCAAGTGTCCAATCATGTTAAAGGTCAACTTGAGCATGCAGTCCCCTCTCCATAGCACAACATAGTGTTCACAAAGTGATCATGCACTACCAATATGCACGGAAATGGCAGGAGCCAATCAGCGATTCTTCAAAACAAGTCTGGTCATGCCCTGGCTGTTTCCTCTAGGTGCCATCTTGCCCTGTCCTCAGCCTCAGGCCCCTGCATCTCTCCCCCTACTTTGTTTTAAAAGTGAGGTTCCTTAAGGATAGCCCCTGGGGATGGGGTGCACCATCCCCATCCCCCTCTGCTGCTGTGGCCTCCCTGTCTTAGGTTGCCTCTCCTCAGGTGCTGAAGTTGCCTGTCCTTGGGTAACCATGATTGCTCTCATGGCCCCTATCTTGGGTTCTTCAGTCTGGGAGGGTCTTACCCATCATTGGGACCAGCCATGCCCTTTTGTGGTTAATATATGGGGGTCTATCCCATAAGGGGGCAAAGCAACCTGGGCCCTCAGGCTAGCTCAAGCATCCATGCCTGGATTTGTCTTGAGGAGGGGCCCAAGGGGGATTGGGTGGCCAGGGCAAGTTGGACCAGGACTTTCTTCATCTGTCTTTGTCTTCTGATAACTGAGCAGAGACGCATGAGGAGAACAAAAGCTAGCACAAGCATTAGAAACATGCTCCCATAGCCGAGTAACCAAGTTGGGTCCAAGAACCCCTTGATATGCTCCCATACCTTACTAAAAAAGGAGGAGTCCATTGATAGGACCGGGGCCCGGGTATAATTTAGAGCAATAATCTAATTGGTCAGTAATATGGAAGGGGTGAGACAAAGTGACCTAAAGCAAGGGTCACAAACTAGCAGAGCCATGTCTTTGGTAATTGCCAGCTCTTCACTTAAGAGAAAGACAAGAGTATAGGCGGGGAAGGGACCAAGGCCCGGAGGTCCTTGGCTTTTATCTGACAGATGGCTAGCAGGAGAAGAAGTGCCATTCTTGACAGATTTTGGTCAGCCATCTATTGATCAGATCTTGAATAATGATGGTAACGATAAAGATGATGATGGCCAGGGCAGCAGCAGTGAGCATGGCAATGAAAGCCTTCCATCCAAAATATTCCATCCTGTAAGACACAGAAATCCTCCTCAAAGGGCTGTTACCTTTGGGACAGGGTTATTCCTGCATCTTTAGATTCCTTGCAGGTACCCAGATGGGTTGGGGTTCATCCGTGGGAAAGACGCATCCAAACCCCCTGCCCATAGTAAGGAGCGGGTCGGGTCCTCGCCATTGTCCCATTACTGGATCCTTCCATATGACCCGTACCTCTGGCCTTTGCTCCTGATGCTCCTAATGTTTTTGGAATCGAGATTCCAATTGACCTTTTTGAAATTTGAGGATATTGATGGTAAATAGGCTGAACCTAGCTGTTGGTGGGGGCTTACTCCCTCTTTTTGTTTTTGTAATTGGGCCTTTAAGTCCTGATGGTTATGTTCTATGATAGCTTGGCCCTGGGGGTTATAGGGGATCCCCGTGTTATGGTGGATTCCCCATAAAGAGAAGAAGTCCTGTAAGTTTTTACTTATGAAGCATGGTCCACTGTCAGTTTTAATCCTTTGAGGTAATCCCAGCATAGCGAAGCACTGGAGGAAGTGAGACTGAGCATGTTTAGACTTTTCTCCTGTATGGG